TTCTCCTAATTTGGGTCGGCAAAAGAGGAGTCCATTTTTACCGTGGCGTCGAATGAACTCTTCGGGTTTTCTAATTGACAGACCAGGGAGATAGACCTCGCCAGCCCGGACAGTCAGCGATGAATAGGGGGGGAGGGAGTGTAAGGGAAGCGCTGCCAGTCTCGCCATTGGCCTTTGTCTACATGCCCTGTTTTTGTTGAAGCGGGCTCTTGCCGGCGCTGTTCACCACACAATCTCTCTCTTGTCTCTGGCCTTCCCCTGCTTCCCTGCCAATCCAAACAATGCGAGAGATTGAGAACTCGTACCGCCTCGGCCGTGATCGCCTGTGGGTCGCCAGTGCATGGCCTGCGTTGGAATGGGCACTGCCATCGTCCGTCCGAGTCGGCCATTGTGCAATCGTCAACCAACTTTTCTGGCCCGGCTGGTTAGCACGGTAGTAGTGCCCCGTGCTCTTGGTCCGTTGCCTGGGCCCGGCGTACCGTAATGGTAGCTCGCTATTGCTGTGCCTTGACGCGCGTATGAGACGACGGCTGCTGTTCAGTTGGATGAGCAGCACAAGTGACTTGTACACTCGCGGGCTAGCCGCTAGGTACTGTAGGATTGTGCACGACTCTAATGCACAACCTGGTGGGCCTCCAAGACGAACCAACACCATCAGTCGATGCAGGGCTGCCCGTCCCGCATACGGCCTGGTTGGTTCTGACTGGCGGAAGTCGCTGTCCCTGAGCTGATGACGCCTGTCCTGCTGGTTCGGGGCACACTAATGCAGGAACCCTATCGCTGGACACAAAGCCCGACGCAGACAGGCTGGTGAACCGCCGTCCTTGCTCCGTCAAGAAGGCAGCCAAGGCGGTCGAGCAGATTGAGCAGATTGCGCTCCTCTACCACCCGTCAAGGCCAACGCGTCTGACTTTGCTCAACGACCCATGCATGGCTATGAGAACCATGGCTCCTGGAGCTGATGTTACATGTACTGTACTCCGTTCTGCCAGGGCGAAAGGGCCGGCTTGACGGTGCCATCCGCAGATTCTTATCGATCGCACCAAGACACCTTGGTTTCCGTTTCGTGCGGCTGTGCAGGCCCACCCGATCCCTTGAGCAGGCCGGTGCTTCGAATGTGCCAGCTTGATGTCCAAGGCCAATCGTTCGTCGCCCATCGCTCGCTGTCGCCAGTCGTGGGCGAGATGTGATGGATGGGAACGATGTAAGGGCGGCGCGCTCAGGTCGTGCAGCCGATTGGGCTTGGACGGCTGGATGGGCGGTTGGACGGGCGGATGTGGGAGTGGATGGTGTGGGTGGCGAGCCAGGAGATTGAGCCTCGCAGAGATTGCACTAAGGTTCAATAGAGTCATATGTGCTGACTTGGGGCCAGGCGTACCTGGGCAGGTCGTAAAGTAAGGTAAGGTAGGTTAGCAAGGTTAGGTACCTTACCTAACTACCTTGCACGGCGACGATGGTTCTCTGGAGGGCACGGCACGACCACCCAGGTGCGATGATGCAGCGGCGCTCCAACAGAGGCCAGCACCAACGCTATCAGTGCCAGTGGGGCAGACGCTGGCGGCATGGAGAAGTGAACGGACGAGTCAGGTCTCGCGTATATCACCGACGGCTTTGCGCTCAATCTCCCAACCAGTTTAACAACACGAGAAAAAAAAAAGAGGCCCCCATCCCAATCCGGCTAATGGGGTGCAAAACAACAACACGATGACTAGAAAACTGGGTATATCGATGATCACCTGAGTCCAGACTCTTTGATCGGGGCTTCTCTTGCCAATCGTTGCCCTCCTAGTGGATTGCTCCTGGGGCCCTTTCGAGGCTTCTCTGGGGCCGTCTCCAAAAATGGCAACAGCGACCAGCTCGCCCATCAGGTACAAGCCCCCTGCCCTGTTAAGCCTGTGCATCGGAAATACCTGCCCTGTGTCTCCCATTTGCCAAGCCGCCCCGATGTGTGTCTGACACCTGAGAAGACTCTTGGACTCCAGGCGAGGCTTGCTGGGCCTGCCGAACCTGCTGTACGATGCGAATTGATGCCAGCCCTGCCAGCCCACCCAGTACCCAGCTTGGGACCCAGCTTGGGGGACCGGAAGCAAAGCCGGCCAAGCTGGCGGTCTGACGGTATGAGACGACGTGCCGCTCAAGTGCTGGTCAGATCTCCCAAGGGGGCCCTGCGCTTGGACATCAACCGCTCAGCGGGCCGTGTCTCCAGGTTCTATAGTTTTGAACTCTTGCTCTTGCTACATATGACTTTGCCTCGCTTCAGGTAATAAGCATGTCATTGAACACACTGGCCAAGATAGGGCGCGCCGTGATCGTCAGTCAAAGGCAGACAATCGGTGTTTCTGCTCGATGACTTCTCGGGCCTTGACGCCTCTTCTTGGCATCTCCGGGAGATCAGGAGCTCCATCGAAACGGAGGCGCCTTCAGACGGCAAAGCTCCGACTCCTCCTCAGCTCGAAAGGGCTTGGTTCGCATGGGTCGAGCGTGAGAGTTCAAGCTTTTGGGGCCAGTGAGCTGGTGACGGGCAAATCAGCTTCTCCTGAGCCACCAACTACGGAGCCGAGCTTTCCATATCATTGTGTACTATCGACCCAGAAAGCGCTCCACGCCCCGCAAGCTAATTTCCACTCAGTAGAGCTTCCCCCAGTTACAGGCCCCGTCGCCGTGTTTTTGTTGTCCTTTCCGAGAGCCAACCGTGTCTTGACTTGATGTTCCCGCTCCCGGTTGCCGGGCAAGGCGCTGGCAAGGCGGAAAGGCGGGCAGGCAAGACTTCCACAAGCAGGGGGGGAAAGCGAGGGCAGGGAGAATCATGATACCCGGCCTGACTCTGACCCTGATTCCGAATCCGACCCCATTGGACCAGTAAGGAGGTTGCCAATTCTAGAAGCATTTCACAGCGTTCAGAGCGCCTCGTATTGTTGCTGGCCATCGAGTTGACCTGCGAGTGAACCTTGAAATCGAGTCCCCGCGTCCCCGAGATTGAATGATCCATGGTCATGATGCAATGGAGCCAGGTCGTGTGAGGGTGGCATTGGGAGATATCCTCTCTCCTATCTACATGTATCACTGCCCCATTGCCGTGCCACTCGCCAAGCAGTTATCGCTAGCTGCCTGCTGCGTCAGAGTTGGTGTCGTCAGCACTTCACATTAGTGTGGTCCAAGGTGTCTTGCCTGCTTTTGAACCAATTCCACGCCATTGCCCTCACAAAGCAATGGTGGCATCCCGAGAACAACACGACAGCGTTTTTCAATTTGACATTTCACGCTGCACACAATGATGTTCTGCAGCAGCCTTGGATTACTTGCGCCACGCGGTGTCTCGGTTAGGCGCCCCTTTGCTGTGGACAAGAGTTCAGAGTCGATTTTCGTTTGGTGTCATACACCTTGAGAAGAATGTGGTGTCTTCAATTCGACGCTTGAGGGTCCATTGGGCCCCCCCAAATGGGACCATCTGCCGTCTTCTCACTTGCTGGCGTCGACAGCGTGGAAGAGTGCGGAATGCGTTCGTGGATCAGTCGGCCCAGGTTCGGCGTTAGGTTTGTAAGTCGCAAACAGGACGGGACGGGAATGTTGGAGCCGCACGTCATCGACACGACAGGAAAGCATGACCCCCCTCTACCGGATGTCGAGGCACCAAAACCCCCCACATCAGAGAGCTGAGGAAAACAAGACAGCATTCCTCACTGATCAGCAAACCCAACAGCACGACATCGCACGACTCATTTGGCATTTTTGAGGTGACAATGACGGCCACGATGCGAGCAATTGGTACGTCCCTGCCATCGAGACTTCGGCGGCATCATCACGACACCTCGTCTGACCCGCTTGTCCAGACATCAGGGGCGGCAAAGGCCCCCGCGAGAACCTATTCCTGAGTTCCAACATTCCTAAACCGACCCCCAAGTCAGGCGAGGCCCTCGTAAAGGTCAAGGCTTTTGGCATCAATCGCATGGATCAAATCCAACGCAACGGCGCATATCCCCTTCCCCCTGGTGTTTCCAGCATTCTCGGTGTCGAGTTTAGTGGCACCGTCGACTCCCTGGCCGACGAGGGTACCGACAGCTCCCGCTTCAAGGTCGGCGATGAGGTCTTCGGTCTGGCATATGGCGGCGCCTATGCCGAATACGTCGCTGTCGACGTGGGCATGCTGATGCCCAAGCCCGCTTTCCTCTCCTGGGAGCAGGCTGCTGGCGTCCCCGAGACTTGGATCACGGCCATCCAGGCCTTGCATGTTGTCGGCGAGTTCCAGCCCGGCAAGGCCGTGTTGTGGCACGCCGGCGCTTCGGGCGTCTCCATCGCCGGTATCCAGCTGAGCTTAGATGCCGGCGCCGGCGCAGTCTATGCGACGGCCGGTACGGAAGGCAAGTGCTCTTTCATTACGGGCACATTGGGAGCAACCAAGGCTTTCAACTACAAGACTGAGGATTGGGCAAAGGGGATCAAGGATGCGACCGGTGGGAGCGGAGTGGACCTTGTCGTGGACTTTATCGGCGGAGGCGACTACTTCACCAAGAACATTGATGTCGCGGCTAGGGATGGCAGGATCGCCATGCTCGGCATGATGGGAGGTGGCATAGTCGAGAATGTCGACATCAGGCCCATTCTGTTCAAGAGGGTGCGGATTGAGGGCACGACTCTGCGGAGCAGGACTCTCGAATATCAGGGAAAGCTACGAGAGAAGCTCGAGAGCTACCTGCCCGATTTTGAGAACGGCAAACTGAAGGTGGTCATTGACACCGTTCTGCCGTGGGACCAGATCCAGAAAGCTCATGAAATCCTAGAGGGGAACCAGAACTCGGGCAAAATCGTGTGTACCATTCCATAGGCATAGATATCATCAGATAAGAATCTCACAGAGACTCGACAAGCTGTTGTGTACGTTCAAGTGGTCATCCTCAGTCGTTCATTGGGCTCACAATATCAAGAAAAAGCTATCGCACACCGCGCACTTGATCCTTCCTGCCTACTTAGTGCTCCTGCACCCACTTCAACATTTGGTGGTAAGCCGTAGCCTGTGCCTCTCGAATGGCTGCATCTTCGTATTCACCGGCAACAGCGAAGCCTAGACAATGCGTCAGCAACTCACGAGACTGTCATTCGTAAGCAAAAGTGACAACACTTACCATGCGGAACTCCGGGGTAGACCCGAACCTCGTGCTCAAGGTTCGCTTTGGACATGGCGTCTTCGCCGAACGTGCGTACATGTTCAGGAAACAGGGGATCATCTTCCACACACACGAGCGAGATGGGAACCTTGAGCCCGTTGAAGTCGTCTGGCGTTACAGATGCGCCGTGGGCCAGCGCGCCAACCTTGATAAAGGGACCTTTTTTCACCTGGCCAGCCTCTTCGTCGGCGGGCTTCTGTGCTACGGCCTGGCTGTCAGACCCGAGGAGTAGAATGTAGCGTCCGCCTATGCAGTAGCCGACGGCATAAATGCCGTCGCCGTGCTGGATGGCATCGGTGTACTTCTCCCGGCACCCGTCGATGACGCGGTGTAGAATAGGCAGCACCTTCTCTTCCGTATGGCGCGCAAGCCACATGTCAATCTGGAAGCTTTTGGCGGTCTCAGCTACCTTGAGCTTAATAGTATCCAGGAAGGAGTCGCTCTGCTCGATATCAAAGGTGGAAGACGTCGGCGCCGGATCTTTGTTGAATATGTCAGGCATAGCCACAAGGAAGCCCTCGCTGGCAAACTTGTCGGCCTGGATCTGGTTGTTTGTCGAGTGAACGCCCGTACCACCTGTAAGGAGGAGCAAGAAGCGAGCTTGTGCATGGGGGTAGTCGGCGGGCTTGGAGATGTACACGTCGGTGTCGTTGATTTGGATGATTTCGCCGGTGGCGGATTGGCCATGTGCTGTGCTTATGAGCCTCTCCCTTTTCACTACCTTAATCCTCTATCAGCAAGTCAACTTACGAGCCGGCCGGTCTGAAACGCAATGTTCGCTGTGTTCTCCCATGGTCGGTCCAGTCTGAGCAGGAGTGTCGCCGGGAATGACAGGTTCCTGGACAGGGGCAGTAGCATCACTCTCGGGCGCCTTCGTCGCAACCTCGGCTTCAGCCATGGTAACAGTTCAAAACGTATGGTACGGTGTAGTATCAAGGATTCAGTGCAACAAAAGTCGCCAAAAGAAGTTGAGAGTCCGCTGAGTCGTGGGTCAGGAACGTTAGGAGAAACAATGGTCGCCTGGTGTACCTAGGTAGTTATCCTGCTGGCTAGCAATAGGTATTTACTACTTGGCCAGTGCCATTGACAGCGAATGAGGGGAGAAATGACGTCCGGATCGTTGCTACCCCGCGACGCGCCTTGCGAGTGGAGAAGTCCCCCAGCTGTCACACAGTGGCGACAACTGCCATAAGCCCGACCCCGCCATCTTCCTGGGAAGCACGCCTCAGTCTAGAAACCATTAAACAGGACGCGTCCGACGCGTCGTTTCCTGGCCTTATCTTTTGCCATCAACCCACCCTTATTATAGTTCATCTTCAATCCAGAGTCACCCATCTTGCTTTCCTCCACCTTATACGAAGCAAGCTCAAGATGGATTCTGCTGCTGCATCAAAGATTACACGCGGTGCTCTTGAGTATGACATTCCACAACACCCACAGGTTTCTAGAATTTCACTGACCGCTGTCGTGACCACAGCGCCATCTTCAACGATCCCGAAAATGTTGCCACCCGGTTCCCTGTGCCTGTTCTACAGTGCCTTCAGATCAAGCCTCTCGCAGGACAGCAAGGGGCGGCCGACCGTTTCCGAATTGTTTTAAGCGACATCAACAACTATGTCCAATCCATGATGGCGACCCAGGTCAACCATGTGATTCACGATGGGCATCTCGTCAAGAACTGCCTTGTTCGCGTCACCCAGTACCAACCCAACTCTGTCAAGGGCAAAAAGTCGGTACATTAATCATGTCAGACCTATTTCGAAGCTAACACCACGAATAGCATCCTCATCATCCTCGGTCTTGAGGTCATTCCAGAGCTTGGCACGCCTGAGAAGATTGGTGACCCCCTGGCCTTCGAACCCCTCCCTGAGGGCGCAGCCCCCAACCCGGGAAACACAGGCAATGCGCCGATCCAAGGCCAAAACTTTTATGGAGCAAAGAAGGAGGAAGAGAAAGAGAAACCAAGAATCTCGCAGATTCCTAGTCGCAGTGTCGCCGGTACAAGTCACGGCAGCAGCAACATATACCCCATCGAGGCACTATCTCCCTACGCACACAAATGGACTATCAAGGCCCGCGTTACACAAAAGTCCGATATCCGGACGTGGCACAAGCCCAGCGGAGAAGGCAAGCTCTTCTCTGTCAACCTGCTTGACGAGAGCGGCGAAATCAAGGCGACCGGTTTCAATGAGCAGTGTGATCAATATTACGACCTCCTTCAAGAGGGCTCGGTCTACTACATCTCGAACCCCTGCAAGGTCGGCATGGCCAAGAAGCAGTTTACCAACCTTCCCAACGACTACGAGCTCACTTTTGAGCGAGATACGGTGATTGAGAAGGCCGAAGATCAAACCAACGTCCCGCAGGTTCGCTACAACTTCTGTAACATCCAGGAACTGCAAAGTGTCGAGAAGGATGCGACGGTTGACGTTGTCGGTGTACTCAAAGACGTTGGCGAAGTCTCGCAGATCGTGTCCAAGTCTACAGGCAAGCCATATGAGAAGCGTGAACTCACACTCGTTGACGACAGCAACTTCTCTGTTCGCATCACTATCTGGGGCAAGTCTGCCCAGGGCTTTGACGCAAGCCCTGAATCGGTCGTCGCCTTCAAGGGCGTCAAGGTTTCCGACTTTGGCGGTCGCAGTCTGAGTCTCTTGTCGTCGGGCACCATGTCCGTCGACCCTGATATTCCTGATGCTCACCGCCTGAAGGGCTGGCATGACTCGTCTGGTCGCAATGATGCCTTCGCAACACACAACAGCATGGGCTCCGGCTTGGGTGCTGCCACTGGGCGCCCCAACGAAGACAAGGTCATTGTGCAGGTCAAGGACGAGCAGCTTGGCATGGGCGAAAAGCAGGACTTTTTCAACCTCAAGGCAACCATTGTCTATATCAAGCAGGATACCTTTGCGTACCCTGCTTGTCGTAACGAAGGCTGCAACAAGAAGGTTGTTGACATGAATGATGGTACATGGCGCTGCGACAAGTGCGACGTCTCTCACGACAGGCCTGAGTATCGCTACATCATGTCTGTGAACGTGTGCGATCACACATCACAGCTGTGGCTTAGCTGTTTCGACGAAGTTGGCCGGTCTATCATGGGCATGTCTGCGGATCAGCTCATGGAACTCAAGGAGGGCGGCGACGAAGCAACGCTCGCCAACGCTTTCGAGGCAGCCAACTGCAAGAAGCTCGCGTTCCGCTGCAGTGCCAAGATGGACACTTTTGGCGAGTCCCAGAGGTAAGATTTCTATCTGACTCGGGTTCTTTCGATGCTTTGACACTGATGGTTATTTGCAGAATTCGATACCAGGCTCGTAGTGCCGCGCCGGTTGAATACAAGTCGGAAGGCAACAAGCTTGCGGAACTGATCAAGCAGTACAGCATCAGTTCTTGAAGCTTTTGTGTGGCAACGGCGTCGCAGCTGACCATGGTACTAAATGACGTGCCTAGGGGGCATATCTGGATTATGGAGAGAAAAAGCAGAATGTTCGGGTGTATCATGAGCCATGAACGGCGAAAGCCGAGAAGAGTATTGTGCTGTTCCTTTGCTGAACAATTATGACCAATACAAGACATGCAATGTTCAACACGGCCGTACAGCGCATTCATGTAATCTCATCATGTTTCCTATACTGGCCAGTCTATGACCAGTTTTGCGGCTGACCCTCGTTTCTCTGCAGAAACTCGCAGAGGTCTAAGAGGATGATGTGCCACACTGCCTCAGCATGATACCTTGTCCGGAGTCTCAAGAACTCCGTTTCCGAACGCCGGCTCCCTTATGATTTCATGAGACTGCAGGGCCTCGTTCCCCTTCGCCCTACTTGTAAGCCACAACGCTTCCATGTTGTTTGTGAATAAGCAAAGCCATTATCAGAAGCCGTGCGTTTTGTCATTGCCTTCGTCATTCATCAAGTCCGTACATTACGGCTCTGCACCCACGTGCTTTTATTTGTCTCGCCCCTCGTTGTCGTTCTCATACCTAGAGACTACCGAATCCGAGGAGTAAGCCCGGGTCATCTGGGATCGCGTCAAAGTCGGGGTACGCGATGGAGATCAGGGTGCTGATGAAAGAAGCGCTATAGATAGGTTCATCGCCTTCTTCTGAAGGCGACAAGTCCTCCAACAGCAAGTTCGAGAGTGCTGGCGAGGTAGCGAACACGGGCACGGGGGGAGGCGCGTGCACGATGGAGTCTTGAGCTGGACGCTAACCGTGCTGCATGGTATCGACCATGAGGTCCTCGTCCTCAATGGACTGGTCAAAGCCAAAGCCTTGGTCGGCCATGTGCCCCTCCTTCTCCTGGCGCTTCTGTTCGCGTGCAATGTGTCTCGCGTAGTCTCGAGATGCCATGAGGCGCGAATCGGTCGTCTCAACGATGCTGCCGAGGGCTTTGAGATTGTCAACAGCCTTCTTCATTTCTTGCGCAAACTCCGTCTCAGAGAGAACCTCTCCATCAGGGAGGAAGGCAAGATAGCTTGTGCCGTTGGTGTCGGTATCGAGGAACCCTTTGAGCATGCCCGTTGCGATCATATCACGGACAAGTGTTTCTACTTCTTGGTCTGTTGCCAGAAGCTGTCCCGTCTCAGCACTCTTGGTCTGTTCTCTGAGCTCACGAATGCTCAGTTTGCAGTAGATCTGAGACAGCCCAATAATCTGCCA